ATCTGTTTATTCGTAAATTTTTAACAGTTTCATCACAGAGATTTAGTTGACCTCGAACATCTTTCAAAAGATTACTTTATTAAATAAAAATACTATATATCCAACATATAAATCAATATGAAGGTTATAGTTTGATCAAATAATTATCACTTTGTACGATGTATAGCTTTAAAATGCGAGAGAAAGGAATTTGAAGTGTAAGTACTAGTTTGTGAAAGGTGTAAAGGGTCGACGCGTCGCCGACATCCACATCAGCGGCAGCTCGAGGCTTGGATAGTTATCCCAATTTCCCGGCTTCTTATCTACATCTGGGGTCTGAGGCGAGGTTCATTTAACTCCTGCAGTGTTGGGGAAGTTGGTTGTGGGGGCTGAGGATGGGGTAGGGTTGGATTGCTATAATGGGCGATAGGTTTTTGTTGGCGGGGTGAGGGTTGGTTGGTTATTAGATGCCCTCTGGCCTCCACTAGGGGCCCTCTTTACTCTGCTAGAGGCCCCTCTTTACTCCACTAGAGGCCTTCTGGCCTCTATTAGGGGCCCCTCTTTGCTCCACTAGAGGCCCTCTGGCCCTTGGTGGAGGCCAGAGGGCCTCTAGTGGGGCCTCTTTGCTCCACAAGAGGCCCTCTGGCCTCCACCAAGAGCCCATCTTTACTCCATTATAGGGCCTCCACTATGGGCCCTCTGGCCTCTATCAGGTGGTCTCTGGTGGGCTCCAACAGGTTCCTCTGAGCTCTACCAGGTACTCTCTGGGCTTAACCAGGAGCCCCACTAGGTGCCACAAAGAGCCCTCTGGACTCTTCAAGTAACCCACTGAGCTCCACAAGGAATCTACTAGAATCTACCAGGTACCCACTGGACTCCACAAGGTACCCACTGGATTCCACAAGGTAACCATTGGACTCCACTGGACTCCACTGGACTAACCGGGGGGATATTGGTAGGGTATTAAAAGTATCAACACAGGACAGAACACGAAACAATGGGTATAAATTGGATAAGTTTAGATTTAGGAAAGACTTGGGTAAATACTGGTTCAGTAACAGGGTTGTTGATTTGTGGAACCAATTGCCGCGTAACATTGTGGAGGTGGGGTCCCTCGATTGTTTCAAGCACGGGTTGGACAAGTATATGAGTGGGATTGGGTGGTTATAGAATAGGAGCTGCCTCGTATGGGCCAATAGGCCTTCTGCAGTTACCTTTGTTCTTATGTTCTTCTTATGACTCTACAAGGTTTCCACTGGACTCCACAAGGTATCCACTGGACTCCACAAGGTTCCCACTGGACTCCATAAGGTATCCACTGGACTCCACAAGGTATCCACGAATCCACAGGGTACCCACTGGACTCCATAAGGTACCCACGACTTTACAAGGTATCCACTGGACTCCACAAGGTACCTACTGGGCACTACCAAGGGCTCTATAAGCTCCATCAGGTCCTTTTGGGCTCCACCAGATATGCTCAGGGCTGTACCAGGTGCCCTCTGGGCTTCACCAGTTGTCCTCAGGGCTCTACCAGGTGCCCTCTGGGCTCTACCAGGTGCCCCTCTAGGCTTCACCAGGTGCCCTCAAGGCTTCACCAGGTGCCCTCAAGGCTCTACCAGGTGCTCTCTGGGCTTCACCAGGTGCCCTCTGGGCTTCACCAGATGCCCTCTGGGCTCCACCAGGTGCCCTCTGGGCTCCACCAGGTGCCCTCTGGGCTCCACCAGGTGCCCTCTGGGCTCCACCAGGTGCCCTCTGGGCTCCACCAGGTGCCCTCTGGGCTCCACCAGGTGCCCTCTGGGCTCCACCAGGTGCCCTCTGGGCTCCATATACATGTCACACACTAGATACTGCATGTTACCCTAAAGTGAGAAATTCAGTATGTAACTGCAAAAACAGGTTCATTATCTAAAGTTTAAATGTCAGTTCCTGTGTTAACTTTATTCCAACAGATGTCAATGCAGAGGACTATACAGAGTGACAACAGGTCCTCGCATCTTGGCATGTCTTCGAGGGGACAAACTTCGTGTAACCTAGCCACATACAGGAACACAGGTACGTTACCGCGGCACTCGTCACGCCATGCCAGTGACTTTTATTACCTCTCTACCCTTACCCAGACTAGCTTAACCGAACCTAATACAGCCCACCATTACTTAATACATCTAACCCAACAAAATATAAGTTTCTACCAAACAGAAAATGAGCTTTGTCAAATTGTCTTGTGTACAATTTGATTGTCACTGTTAGATAATTAGCATAATTAGGTAAAGCATTCCTTTGAGATGATACAGGGTCCTGTAATACAGTGTCCTACATTCTCTACTCACAGTCAGCTGTTCCGAGTTAGATCCTGGGTAGGACAGAAATGGTTGGGCACGTTTCCTTTCACCTAATGCGTCTGTTCACTGAGCAGTAAATGGTATAGATATTTGGAAGCTAGGCAGCTGTTGTAGGTTGCATCCTGGGGAAGGTCAGTAGTTCAACCTTAGGGGATTTCGAAGCAGAGCTAAGTACAGGCTAAGGGACTAAGCACAGGATTCTTGTCCCCAACAATGGGAATTATCTATTCTAGCTCTATCTATTAATCCAACAAACTTTGTAAAATCTCTTTATGTATGTACCTTACCTAAATAAACATTTATTTATTTATACTGCATCATATCTTTTTTTCTGCTTCCTAACTTGAATATATTTCACATACAATTTTCATGTTGCTCATCAGAGGGATATTGCATGGAACGTTTGACTTAGTACTGTAGGATATTTATGTCCACAAATTATGCTACAATGTACCTGTGGATAACCCTTAAATTTACTTTAATGTACCTACTAATCCTGTCAAATTTTGTATACAATGTATTTTTATACTTTCTTCCAATGTATTTTTTTTTATACTTTCTTACAATGTACTTGTAAATTTTTTTTTAATTTTGCTAGAAATTACCTTAAAATTATATATTAAATTAAGGATCTGCCTGAATCGCTATGCATGCTAGTGGCTTTACAAGAATGTAAAACTTCAGTACTTTGTATTCATAAACCCAATGGACCTTCTTGTATATAAATAAATAAATAATAAATTTATTTATTTATTTATTTATTTATTTAATTATTTATATACAAGACGGTACATTGGGTTTATGAGAGTACATAGCATTGATGATTTTACATTCTTACAAAGCTAGTAAGCTAGTATAACATTGCATTAGTCCCCAATTATTTTTTTGATTCTTACACATTTTGTTTATCACTTGCAGATATGAATGAGAGTAACAAAAATGCAGAAGAAATGCTTAATATCCACAAACAACTCCAAGAGGAAACAGAGAATATTGTTCGTTGGAAAGCCTCCACTGAGGTACGATGATTATTATCTCAATTAACAAAGATTTGTAGGGATTTTCCCCTAGGCTGACTTTACTTGAATTGAACATTAATACTGTAGTTATTTTTTAAAATAAGATGGAGTAGTATAATTGGCTTTGTTCTCGACTCGGAACTAGGGATCCCGGGTTTGATTGCCGGGAGGGACAGAAATGGTTGTGGGCACATTTCCTTCCACAAAGCTTCTGTTTACCCAGCAGTAAATAAGTACAGTTCCAGGGAGTTATGCAACTGTTGTGATTGCACCCTGAGGAGGATCAAACTAGGGGGATGTGGGGGAGGGACCTTGATACACAATATTGTGTAATCAATTTAAGTGAAAGTGTATTGTTCTAACAAACAATGGGAATTATACAATATTTGAATCTTCTAAGTAATCATTGTAACAAGTTCCTAGGTAAACAGAGGCATCAGGTGTTGAGGCCATCCCTAGATCAACTACTGACTTTCCAAAGGATGTAACCAAGAACAGTTGGAAACTCCAGGGTTCCTCCTTATTGCTAATTAAAGAGCTGAATTAGGTGAAAGGAAACGTATCCACAATAGTTTTCCCACCCAGGAATCGAACTAGGTATCTTCGAGAGTGTAGACCAATGTACTGTACTATTATGTAGAGCATCTAATTATGCTTAACATTTCTGCTGTGATGATTCCTTCATTTTTGTGTACAGTAATAACAACTTAAAAAAAATGATGTCTTCATTTTATACATATAGTATTTATCTTTCAGATAAAAACCAAACATTTGGAGCGGCAACTTCAGGAGGCCCGCAGTATCATTGATGATCAACGCCATAACCTAATGGACTTGCAACTGCATTCAGAGCATCTCTCACAAAGTTTGCTCAAAGAGCGTCAGGAACGAGAGCTAGTGAATACGAAGTAAATAATTTGTTTATTGTATATAATTCACCCATTGGTGCAATGTTTATTCTATTTAATTTGTTTAAATACTAATTATATATATAAAATGTATGTAGGATATTAGTAATACTGTATATATATAAATGTCCTTCATTAACATTAACTCACTCTGTAATTTTCACTTGACACACATAATGATCATAACAGTAATTGATCCCTAACTTGAGCTTCTTTGAGTACAGTATATTAATATTTTTATATACAATAATGCCAGGAAAAATGCCCCAAAAATATATGGGCATTAGTAAATTGATTTATGCATATTTGTGTAGCTATCACTAATACAGTATTTTAATTATTCTAATGAAACACTTCCTTTTCTTTATAGAGTACCATATTTCAGTCCCTATTGTCTTGAAACACACAATTTTCGATTTGTGAAATGCCATCACTTGAATTTTGTAAGTGTGGATTGGGTTCTTTGTTTGAGCCATGTTATTGTCACTTATTCTGCACTTGGATTGTGCATGTTTTATGATTCATGCAAGAATTTACAATACTATTATAATGCTTTCTGTTGTAACTAAAAGTCGTTTCCAGGTCGGAATGAAATGTTGTCACATTCCTTTCTTTTCATATGTGCGTTTTTTCAGCTACATTATTATAAATTATTTTCTTCACAGGGTTGCATAAAAAAGCATATATATATTTTTTTTTTTTGAGATATATACAAGAGTTGTTACATTCTTGTACAGCCACTAGTACGCGTAGCGTTTCGGGCAGGTCCCTGGAATACGATCCCCTGCCGCGAAGAATCGTTTTTTCATCCAAGTACACATTTTACTGTTGCGTTAAACAGAGGCTACAGTTAAGGAATTGCACCCAGTAAATCCTCCCCGGCCAGGATACGAACCCATGACATAGCGCTCGCGGAACGCCAGGCGAGTGTCTTACCACTACACCACGGAGACTGTAGACTATATTGTACTTAAGTTAACCATTCCCTTGCTGACAGGTAGTTAGGGTTTTGGTAGTACACTTGGGTTTGTTCTCAACTCACAATCGGAAATCCCGGGCTTGAATCCCGGGTGGAACACAAATGTTTGAACGTCTTTCCTTTTACCTAATGCATCTGTTCACCTAGCAGCAAATAGGCACCTGAGAATTAGTCATCTGTTGTTGAGTTGCATCATTTGGAAGGTCAGTAGTTTGACCTTGGGGGGACCTCATTATAAACCTAATGTATACAGTATATTATGCAGAGGCTGCTTGCTCCCTGACAAAATGAATTGTCACAATAATTTGGCTGACAGTCAAGACACCCACTCCACATATCTGAAAATAAAGGATATTTCGATGTTTTGGTTCCTCCTGGACCAATATCACTATTGATAATTGTCCAGAATGTTCCAAAATGTCATAATTTCCCAAATTTCTTTACTAATTGTGTACTGTACTTACTTTCAGGGTAGCTCACACCCGTGAGATTTTCTTGGCTTTACAAGAGCAATATGAGCAACTGCTGGAGACAACCAAGCTTCTAGAACAAGACAAAGACTGTCTTACCTCTGAACACAAGGATATTATCAAGCAATTATATTCCCTTCAACATACATCTCAATCACATCAAAACACTATACAAAGTATTATTGCCAAAGGTAAGTTAGTAAGAAACTAAGGCTAATGAGTATGCAGTAGGTTAGTTAGTTTAGTTCATTTATTATGCACCCCATACCCATCTTGTGGGCGGTAGTGGAAAGGTTACAGAGGCACATAATGGGCTCAGGGACTGAACCCACAATTCATTTAGCTAAGCAGTTACAATCTTGATGAGCTAGTTACAAAATTCAATATAAGTCATCACATCAACAATGGTTCGAGATCGACCTCAAGTACAGGTTCTAAATTAAGCAACTGACATATGTGGAGAGCTAGTGTCAAAATTTATATGTTTGTCCTGCACACTGCCCCCCATCCAGTGGGCAGCGGTGGATAGGTTTACAATCACTTAGTTACTACCTACAGTTAGCAAACTGGGGATATTTGGCTAAAATTTCTGGTAGCAGATCATTTTGAATGAAATATTGACACATCGCTGGAACATTGGTTATAGAATTGTCTCTAAATTCACGTATCTTTTCGCACTCCATCACATAGTGACGGAGGGTGTGCGAATAATTTTGTTGACACAGTTTACATTTGGTCAGGTCTACATCAGCAGATAATGAGAATTCCAGAGATGGGAACATTAGAATTAAGAAAACTGTAGAGGACTTATTGGCCTTTACAAGGCAGCTTCTATTGCTAAATACACAGCAACTCTTATTGGACCATATAAGGCAGCTCCTATTAGCTCATACAAGGCAGTTTCTATTGCTAAATACACAGCAGCTCTTATTGGACCATATAAGGCAGCTCCTATTAGCTCATACAAGGCAACTCCTATTGGCCCATGTAAGACAGGTCCAATTTGCCCATGTGGGGCAGCTCCTTTGCTTCAATTGTCATCTGTAATTGCCTCCAATGCTCCAGTTGTCATATTCCAGAGCATCAATCACTAAATGCAATTTCTACCTTTGCTCCAACTGCCATATGTAATTTCCTCCTGTGCTTTAATTGCCATATGCAATTTTATCCTATTTGATTTGTTAACTGTGTTTAACCCTTAATAATCATGTAGAGTACTTTTAAATTCCTAGATAATTCCTATTCCTAGATAAAGATATTCCTAGAGTACGACTTAATCAAACTAGAAATGCTCTACAAATCAAGGGACCCAGAATGTGGAATGACCTTCCCAACCATGTTAAAGACTGTACCTCTCTCAACCAGTTTAAGATAAAAACTAACAATACCTAATAATTCCCTGTAACCTACCTTACCCCTAAATGTCAACCCATGTCTGTTTTTTTATTTTATTATTATTATTTTTTTTTTTTTTTTAATCAACACTGTTTGTCAACCTATTGTCATTTGTGCTGCTTTTTCAGTCATGTTCCCCCTTTTTTTATCTTTATTTGTATTTGTTTTCACACTTTTTATCTTTATGCTCAATAGTATTAACTTCTAGATATAATGTTTTTCTTGCCCGAAACGCATTGCGTATAGTGGCTTTAGGCATTGTATGTACTAGCTCTATCTATATATCAATCCATTAATGTAACATCACTTGTATGTATTACCTTACCTGAATAAACATATTTATTTTATTTATTATTTAAATAGTAGTTAAATTGTGACAAGGATTTCCCAAGTAAAATTTGCATCTGTATATTCAAAGTAAAAGTATTTATATATTCTCTTAAACCTTAAAATTTTTCTTTTACAAATATTATTTTGTCTTTAGCTCAAGAAGATATATCTCGTCTGGAGAAAGTCAAGGAGGCTATGCAAGATCAGATGTCTGTAAAAGATCAAGAATTATTAGAACTTTCTGAAAAAATCAGCCATTTTCAAGAGACAGTGAAAAATTTGACTGAAACTTTAAATTCAACAGAAGCCAACCTCAATACAACAGAAGTTGAGAAGACGTCATTGGAGATTCAATTAGAAGAGGTAATGTGTGGGGGCATTTGTAATAATTGTATTGGTTTTTAAGATGATAATTCCCATTGTTGGAGGACAACCTGAAAGGCAAAATATAATTCAGCTATATAATTTGCCTGCCTTTGGTGTCTGGGAGAAATATTTCTGAGGTCAATATTTCCATTTGTTGAGACGAGTAGGTGAAAATAGGTTTCCAACTCAACGCTCCCCCCCCCCCCTCCAACACCCTTTTATCAGAAGGCATGCTGGACTGATAACTAGAATGATGGGAAGCAGGATCACTACATCTGTAGTAGTATGGTTGTCTATGTTTTTGACTCACAATCGACGATCCCGAGTTTGAGCCCCAGGCAGGACTGAAATACTTGGGGAAGTTTCCTTTTGCCTGATGCCACTGTTTACCTACCGGTAAGCAGGTACCTGGGAGTCAGACAACTGTTGTGGATTGCATCCTGAGGAAAATCAGGCATTGGCTTAGGGGGGACCTCAATAAGCTTAATACAGGCTCTATTCCCAACAACGAGAATTTGTGACTTCATTCGAACCATCTACATAGAGCAAAGGGCAGGCCTGCATCCTCTGTAATTCATATAAAAGTTTATGATAAATGAATCGACATAAAACATTTCTATTTTATACAGTACAGCATTTTAAAATAAACAATGGGCTTGGATTTTTAATACATATCTTGAAGGTTTTTATTTGTATCTTTCAGGCTAGAGCTACAATGACAAAAACTCAAGAAGAACTAAAAGAGAAAATGGAACTTTTAGCATGTCAAGCAGTTAAGTTTGAAAATGAACTTAATTGTGGGAAACTTATGTAAGTTTACCTATTTTGGCTCAGGTTTACATGTACTTTATTAACCCTTACACTGCTCCAATCAAATCCCAAATGCAATAAAACGATGTACTTCTCATAACTAATCTAAAGGAGGAACAAAGAAATACTTAGTTCAAATCATGTAGTATATTGCATTAGCACATTTCATCCTAAATATATTTTATCTAAGGTTTTGTTACAATATTTGTTGGTGTGTATGATATTCAAAGCACTTTGCATACTTATGGCTTTATTAAATATGCATTTTCCGTAACAATAATTAATCTCTGTATTATATTCTGTATATTTTTTAACTGAAATTATTATTATTATTATTATTATTATTATTATTATTAATTCTATATATTATTTTCTCAGGTATGAGGAGAGTCAGAAAGAGTTTCAGGAAGCTGTAGACAAAATTAAGTATTTAAAAAAGACTAATGACACTTTGGAAGGTGGGAAGAGTGAGCTTGCAGATAAGGTATCTGCGCTGACCAGTCGCAAGCAGGAATTGGAGAAGGTAAACATCTTAATACCCAACTCATACATATGAAGTGAAAGTGGTGGCTGGTAAGGGTCCACAATAGACTGTAGCATCGCTACTTTCTGTTCTTGTCATGAGTGGGGGGTTGGGTTTTTAATATATTATTATTTTATTACATAAAGAAACATTAACGTGATGTATCGATGAGAAAATCAGTAGGATCCATAAGGAGGATTCGAACCTATGCTCTTGGTAGTGGTATAGTGGTCATTTGCATGTGATTGGGTGTACCTAGAGCATATGTTTGAATCCTCCTCATTATTATTATTATTATTATTATTATTATTATTATTGGTATGTACAGAATTTTAGGCATATCTAGGCTTCATTTATTATGTAACATTAACTTTGTTTATTTTTGAATAATCAGGAAATTGCATACAAAACGGAAGCCATTGAGGTTCTTGAGTGCTCGCAATTCAAGAACCTTGAGGAGATTAACCAGTTACAAGAGAGAGTTGCAGGTTTTTGTGTACAACTCTCAAATATACAGGAAGAATGCAGGAATTTGCAGGTAAATGTTATTACTATAATTGATTATACTTGGTCAAAGTAATAGGAATTTGTAGATAAGTTGACCAGATCACACACTAGAAGGTGAAGGGACGACGACGTTTCGGTCCATCCTGGACCATTCTCAAGTCTCAAGTTGACTCAACTTGAGAATGGTCCAGGACGAAACGAAACGTCGTCGTCCCTTCACCTTCTAGTGTGTGGTCTGGTCAACATACTTTAGCCACGTTATTGTGACTCTTCGCCTGCAATTTGTAGATAAGATATATAATATTGAATATAATTGGTCAAAACTGCATGATATTTTTAGGTAAACTGTAATATATTTACCTGACAAAGGCAGTAAAAAGGGTAACAATTGAACACAACCTTTAGAAATGGCATTAAATTCAATTATCCAGGAAACTGAAACTAAAGCTCTTTTAAAACTCCTAAATTACCATCATATGGCCACCATATTTTCTTCTTTAAATATTTGATTGCTTGTGAGTAGAAAAGATGCCTACAATCAGCAGCAGTCATGCTAAATAAACACTGCAGGTATAGAGGTAAGAGAAGATATTGTAATTTAGGAAAGGTACCAAGGCTCTAGTGAGGCATCTGGTAGAGGAGTTTAGTGATTGAAACGATGTCGTTTCTGATATTAAAATCTTAAATTTTGTTCACATAGTTTAACCCTTGAAATGTGCATAAAATTAATCATGTATTATCTTTGTGCACAAAACTACAAAACTAAACAATTTAAAACATGTTTTATGTGCAAAATGGGTTGATCTTCTTAAGATATGCATTTTCTTAAGTTAAATTTTAGTAGACTACTATATGAGAATCCTTGTTCTGCATTGTGTACTTGTACTGTCAAGGGGGTTCAAGAAACTATATTTAATTATTTTACCATATTATTATTTTTATTTTATTTTTATTTTTTATAAATCGAGAAATTCAATTTTTTCTTGCAGTTGGAGAAGGAAAACTTGTTAAGTGAACTTGAAACAAGCAAGAAAGGTCTGACCAATGAAGAACAACATGTGAAACAGCTGGAGGAACAGGTTAGTGTATATCATCAAAGATTCTTTAAAAGAACAAATGTAATAAATACAAAAGGCAACAGCTTTTAGCTCAACAAACCACATTATAATTCACACAAAGGTAACACCACTTAGCTGAAAGAAGTAGTAGCCTTCAAGTCTCGGCCGAAAGATGTACTCTTAGTCATACCAGGCAAGTGAGTGAGTTGTATGGCTGGGTGGTACCCCAAGTGATTTGCGCCACCACCTGGTGGCAAACGTACACACCCAGGTCAGAATTATTCACACAGTACAACACTCATTAGCCTTGTTCTCCTAACCCTTCTGGTGGAGTATCCATAATATTGAGCAGATCTTGGACTATCGAGCTCTCTTCAGCTTGTAGGGAGCCAGATTCTAATCCTGGCTCCCAGTAGGTCGGCAAGGGTCTTGCAGGCATAGTGAATATCATAAGACATGGCTTCACTAGTATGTAAGCTATGAAAAGCTTCTAAGTGTGCCTACAAGAAATGAGTTAGATTAAGCTCTGCAGTATTCATAAGAGGATATTTCAATATTATTATGTACAGTATAGCCCTTTGCAAATATTACAAGCTATGGGTGGTGACTTGCAGTACCTTCTAGAGATTGTATCTGTGTTGTTTGTTTTATGGAACAGTCACTGTTGAGAAGGTATTCCCTTATATGACATGACTCAACTTGTTCCCAGTAAACACACACCAGGACCAGGATTCATCAAACATTTACACAATCACTTAAGAAATAGAGTACTGTACTTCGATCCTTAATCATAACAACTTTGTTTACATTTATTAAACTGTTTACGATCTTCGAAACTTCTCATCTCTAGGTTATCGTTGATATAATCAACCCCATAGAACTTCAGAGCTCATAAACAACCCCATAGTACTTCAGAGCTCATAAACTGTTAATTAAATTTACCTGAATATACCTGAAGGCCACTATATCTCTGTATGTTATTTTTTTAGCTAGTGCTTTGTCCTGGGATCGTATCCTGGTTGGGGAGGATTTACTGGGTGTCAGTCCTTAACCGTAGCCTCTGTTTAACCCAACAGTAAAATCAGTACCTGGTTGTTAAACGATTTGGCGGGGTCGTATTCTGGGGAACATAGAATTAAGGACTTTCCCGAAATACTATGTGTGCTAGTGGCTGTACAAGAATGTAAGAACTCTTGGATATAAAAAAAGTACTTTGTCTTATTCTTTACATTATCAATATTACTTTATTATCATTTGCATATATCAAGTGTTTTCTGTTTTAGATGAGGTCACTGAAGGAGACTATGGAACACTGTCACCAGTTAAATGGCCAAATTGAAGAGGAGAAGAAAACTTTTGAAACACAAAATCAAGAGTTAAATGAAACTGTCAAGCTTTTAAGGGATAAGCTTTTGGTAAGTTAGATTCTTATTAACATCTATGGGTCAGCTTAAACTGCCTTTTCTATTTTTAGAAAAGCCAGCCTCTTCTGTTGAGATGCCATTGTGAGTAAGCTCAGGACTTCCACTAGGATTATAGGTGGGCGCGGACCTATGACCCCGGCATTGCCAAGCTGCATACTCTACCACTAGACCACCACTTGACTTGTAAAAAGTTGTACAGCCGGATTTCTACTGAAATCACACAAAGTCAGCGGTGATCTGGTGGTAGAATATGCGGCTTGGCAATGCCATGGTCATAGGTTCACGCCCACCTCACAGCCCTAGTGGATTTTCTCATTATTATCATTATTGGTATGCTGGATTATGGCTTGGTGATATCAGAATGGTGGGGAGCTTTTATAGGCCCACCAATAAACTGTATTTCATTACATTCAGTGCATGACTTTTTTTTTTTTTTACTCGTGTCTAGGCTATGGAGGAAACTGTTTCGGAATTGCAGACAACTATTTCATCAGCCGAAGAAAATGAAGCAACAATGAAAGAGCAAATATTACACATAGAAAATCTGCATAAAAATTCCAGGTATAGTAGTTTTATTGAGTGTCCCATGCATGGTAGTTTTATTGAGCATCCTATACATACTCATCTTGTGCATAGTAGTTTATTAAGCACTCTAGATTCATCCTATGGGTGGAAGTTTATTTAGTATCCTCATACTCGTTCAATTTGCCTGAAACGCTGTGCGTGCTAGTGGCTTTACAAGAATGTAATTAAACTCTATGTTCTCTGTTAACCCTCAATGTACCTTCTTGTATATAAATAAATAAATAAATGAGTATGGGGTACTCATATTACTATTATGTGATTATTATTATTATTATTATTATTATTATTATTATTATTATTATTATTATTGTTATTATTGTTATTATTATATTATTATTATTATTATTATTATTATTATTATTATTATTATTATTATATTATTATTATTATTATGAGTGGTAGTTTATTGAGCAGCCCATACTCAGCCTAGGAGTTGTAGCACAAAAGGTTTTCAGAGGGCACAAATGGTCTTAAACAGACCTCAGTGGATATTTTACATTAGCATTTACAAGTTAACAAGCTTGAAAAAGGCAACTGTTGTGGAGTTGCATTTTGGGGAAGGTTAATAGTTTGACCTGAGAGGGATACTGATATAGTAAGTCTAAAGTGTATATACCCAGGCTTCCGGTTCCTGACAAAATGAATGGTTAATTATTTGGCCAAGTAAGTTATATTGAGAAATTCCCTTTAGTTTAGTTGTACACTTTTAAGTAGAGTTTAATATTATGATTCCAAACCATTTTGGCTTTTAAGATTTATATGATGTTTCAGCTTGGAGCTTTTGGCGAAGACTGAAAAATGTGAAGATTTAGCACAAACAGTTAAGGAACTTAAGGCAGAGATAAAGAAACTGGAAAAAGAGGTACAGTACTGTTATGCTTTGTTTACATACAGGAAGTGCAGTGGTCTGCCATTGGCTCACAACCGAGGGGCCCATTCTCAATTTCCAGAGTAGGACAGACATTTGGGCATATTTCCTTTTGTCTCATGCCTTTGTTCACCTGGCAATAAATAGATACCCGAGGAGTTAAAGAACTCTTGTGGGTTGCATCCTGGGGAATTATAGTAGTTGGTCTAGAGGGACCTTGCCCCTGATGCCTCTGTTCACCTAGCAGCAATCCGATATCTGGGAATTAAGCAGCTGTTGTGGTTTGCATCCTGAGTAAGGTCAATAGTTGGCCAAGAGGGACCTTGATATACCTAAGTAAAGGCTACCTGTCCCCATCAGTGTATGATCATATCATTTCTTTTTCTTCTATCTTCTAGTTTTGGTATATTTAACAACACCAGTCTCTCCTCATAACTTGTTTTTCAGTTCCAGAAACTATTTTGTACATGCCTTTGTTGTGCTTCTTGAGATTTGGGCACCATACAACAGCTGCATATTCCAGTTTTGGTCTCACTAAAGTCATGAACAGTTTCTTTAGCATTTCACCATCCATATAATTAAAAGCAAGTCTGAAGTTGGAAAGCAACACATACGCTCGTCTAACAATGTTCTTGTGTTCCTCTGGCGACAGCTTACTATCCAAAAACCATCCCTAGGTCTCGTTCTTTATTAGAGTTCTGTAATTCCTTTCCACATAATTTGTAAGTTGTGTGTGGTCTATTTTCTCCGATTCCACATTACATAACATGGCATTTATTCACATTGAATTCCATTTGCCACTTTATGCTCCAAGCACTTATTTTATCTAGACCGATTTGAAGGGCATTACAATTGTCTGTGTCTCTTATCTTCTACCTATGGATGTGTGTGTGTGTGTTTGTGTAATTTTTATTTTTGTTTTTGTGTTTGGGTTTATTAACCTGTTTTTATAAATTATTTATGCTTAACTTTCTTTTTCCAGTTAAAATTAAAAACAAAGAATGTGTCCCAAGAAAGCAAAGTGAAGAAGAAACATGAACAGAAAATAGCATCCCTGATGAAAGAAATTAAAACTCTTACGGAGGCTGTCATTGCCTTGGAAAGCAAATTAAAAGGCCAGAAGGCATTACTCGCAACGATGGAGAATAAAACGACTACCCAAGACAAACAACTGAGTGAGAGCACGAAAGATGTGAAAGATCTCAAACTGTTATTAGATAGGTCTATTTGTGAGAACCAGGAGCTCCAGTACAAACTAGAGGCTAAAACTGAGTCACTAGAAGCATATCAGAAAATCACCAAGGCCGACATAGAGAGACTTCAGGATGACCTATTTCAGAAGGAGGAGGAATTGAATCGCTCTTTGCTTGCTCATGAGCAAGAACTAAAGAAGGTTCAAGATGAACTTGATAAGACAAAAGAAGTATTAAATAATTCTTCAGTTCATGAGCAAGAGTTTAAAGATAATGCTGATAATCTCTTGACCCAGATAGCAAATATGGAGTTGGCTCACAAGGTAAGGGTGCATATATCATTATATTTAGTCCTAAGAGGGTACAGCAGGTACTGGGTTTGGGGGTCTCTCATATACTAGAAGTTGGTTTATCTAAACCTAGGAGAGGATAGCAAGTATATACTGGGCTGGGGTGTGTCTTACATATCCTAGGAGTTGGTTTATCTAATCCTAGGAGGGATATAGCAGGTACTGGGGTTTAGGTATTGTGCACGTTCTAGGAGTGGGTTGTGTTTTGTATATATATTTATGCAGATGATTTTCAGGGTCAATTCTCAATCAAAACATTTAAATTTCCTGTAGCTTTTTGAACTGTTTATAAGTTTTCCAAAGCCAGTATAACTGCAGCCTGTCCTCATAAACAATACAAAGGCAAAATGCTCATTAATCCATTTTCTAAAACCTGTTTTTTTACACTTTGAATTTACCCCATGAGTTCTTACTCTGTTTCCATGCCTTTCACCCAAGCTCAAATCCAGTTAAGTACATCTTTTCCAGTGCCTCACACTAACATTTTTTTTATCAACCACTCATATGGAACAAAATTATGTTAAGTTATGCCTGAACTGCTCTCCATTTTAATGACTATATAATTTATATTTCATGTAAATTATGAATGCTCTGCCATGAATTCTCCACTGTATCATGTTGCTTACATATGCAGTGGAACCTCGACTTACGAATGCCCCTAATTATGAATTTTTCGGGTTACGACCCCAAATTTTGTTGGAAAATTTGAATCGGGTTACGACCTTTGCCTCGAGTTGTGACTTTGTTGATACACGTATAGGTCAACCGAGTGCATGGTTCCTGGTGGCACGGGCGACCCTGCTTCAGTTTACCAGAGCCACCCGCTTAGTGACGCTCGCACTTGAATTCTTTGTAAAGAATTTAATTGTTTTTGTGCATTTTTTGTTTTTTAATTTAAAATTACAGTACATAAATATTATATATCATGCCATGGGTCCCAAGAAAGTCGGTGGTAAGGTTCAACCTAAGAAAACTTCTTAGGTTGTTTGTGAGGATGACCATAGAGGAAAAACAAGAGATCATTCATAGTGAGACAGTATGATGTCTCACTACAGACAAGTGTTAAAACATAGGGAAAATCAAGTTTCTATAGACAGATTCTTAGTGAGACAAGCAAGCAATGAGCCACAACCAGGTTCTAAAGTGGTATGCCTGCAAAATATAGGAGAGAGAGAGAGAGAGAGAGAGTACCCCAGAGAAGTCATCACTGAATGATGTTATAATGGAAGGGGACTTCCCTTCCAAACACTGACACCTCTTCTCCTCCGCCCCCTCCTCAGTCTTCTATACAGCAACAAGAGTCATCAATAAAGGTAAGCTATTATATATTATAAAGTACATATTATAGTACAAAATATGTGTATGTGTATTATGTACGAAATGTATTTTGAAGTTAATATTTTTTGGGAGTGTGTAACAGATTAATTCAATTTACATTACAGTATTTCTTGTGGGAAAATTTGTTTTGGGTTTCGAATTTTCAGGTTACAACCTGTCTCTGGGAACGGATTAAATTCTTAACCAAGGTACAACTGTATATTGTATAAATAAGAATTATTATTAAATTATGGTATTGTCAGCCTTATTAAGGTCAAGATAGCCATCATAAATACAGAAAATAAGTCACAATAATGTGGCTGACAGGAAATAATCCAACCAACATGTGAAATGAAATGATTGACGACGATGCAGTCCATCCTGGACCCTTATCCAATTGTACCCTATTCAAGCGTTAACAGTGTTACGTTTGTAAGTTCAGATAAATTTCCTGTATATTTCAGAAAGAAAAGGAAAGCTTGAAAGGTGAAGTTGAAGCTGCACTCCAAGAGAAGAACCAAGCACAAGAAGAGGCAAGTCTTGCTCTTAAGGAAAGATCGCATGCAATACTTGAATCTGACAAGAAAGTCAACGTAAGTGTCTAAACTTTCTTACCATCATAATGCTAAGTAATATTGTTATTGTTGCTTTCATAGTACAGTATCTGAAAACATATGCCTATTAACTGACTATATGTACTTCAGATATCATAAATGCAGAAAATGCATGTTTCTGGATGTTATATTTAAATAGATACTGTCTTGTAACTAATTGCTCAGAATTTTCTGCATGTGGAGTGCAGGTACATTTTGAACAAGTTTCTGTAAAATATTTGTGTAAGCTCTTTTATTGCCAGAAGACATATCTGAGTTGTCATAGTACAGTTTCACTTTTTGGCTAATGTAGCCTCACAGGTATTTATAATTGACCCTTTAACTGTGTATTCTAAATTAGGTCAATATCCTGGTGCATATAAAATAAATCATTGTCCTATGCTATCATAAAATATTTCTTTCTGATTGTGGGAAAAAATTGTTGTAATTATTTTAGTTTGACTGTAGTGAGGTGAAGAAATGTTGAAAACTTCAAATTCCAGAAATTAATTTTCACATTAACTACAGTATTTGTAATAGATTTCTGCTCATTATTATTATATAATAATAATAATGCTTATTCAGGTAAAAATTCATACATACAAAATGAGTTACAAACAGAATGTTGGATTTCTAGGTAGAGCTAGTAAGTACTATGCCTAAAGCCACTAATACACTTAGCATTTCGGGCAACCTGAAATATCTTCCTGGTTCCTAGAATTAGTGGATGTTCATGCACCTGGCATGGTGCCAATCATTTTACCAATTCCTAAATAGTTATCTATGGTTTTCTGGATTTTTGCAACATGGCAAAGGATTGCCAAGGGTTGCTAGTGGCAATCCATATATAAACTTTAGGACTTTTGAATGCTATGGGGCACAATAAATAGATAGCAGCAGGGAGCCACCTGATTGATGGTTGAGAGGCAGGACCAAAGAGCCAAAGCTCAATCCCCACAAGCACAACTAGGTGAGTCACTAGATGAGGTGAGTATAGAAGCTCTCCTAGAAACCAGCATTGAATGTAATGAAATACCTCTTTCTGGTGGGTCCTTTGTAACTTGGAGCAGCCAAGACTAAGGATCAAGTGTCTACAAGTGGTAGCCACTGGAAGTGATATTCCAAACATCATTGTGCGCAGGAAACTTAGCAGATATATGGAAAAAGGCAAATATAGTTCCAATCTACAAAAATGGTAGCAAAGAAGACCCTCTAAATTATAGACCCATATCATTAACAAGCATGGTAGTTAAAATACTAGAAAATATAGTTAAAATCAAATGGTTAGAACACCTGGAGAGTAATGACATAATAAAACACTATGGTTTTTGAACAGGAAGATCCTTTGTAACAAATCTACTTAGTTTTTATAATAGAGCCACAGAGAGTCTACAGGAAAAGGATGGTTGGGTTGACTGTGTCTGTCTGGACCTAAAAGAAAAAGACTTTTGACAGTCCCACACAAAAGATTGTTTTGGAAACTGGAATATGAAACTAATTAACAGATGAGTGTTAATTAGAGAAAATTTATCTAACTGGAGGAGTGTTACTAGTGGAGCACCACAGGGTTCAATTCTTGCACCAGTAATGTTCATTATTTACATAAATGATCTATCAAAAGGAATACAGAATTGTATAAACATGTTTGCGAATGATGCTAAGCTACTAGGAAAGATAGGAAACCTAGATGATTGTCATGCCTTTCAAATTGACCTAAGACAAAATAAATGTTTGGAGCATCATGTGGCAAATGGAATTCTATGTGAATAAATGCCATGTTATGGAATGGGGAATAGGAGAAAATAGACACCACACAACCTACAAATTATGTGGAGATAACTTAAAGAACTCTTACAAAGAGATCAGTCTAGTTGTGGTTCTGGATAGTAGATTGTCACCAGAGGAACACTTAATAATAATTTTATAATAATTCACTTTGTCTGGGGATAGGAAACCAGAATGTATTCATACATGTGTGGCTTTTATTAAGCCAAAAAAAAAAAGGCTCGACAACCCCCCCCCCATCCCCAGGAAAAATGGCAGTATGAGCACCACTTACAAAATAATAACAAGAATTGACTAAATTTACTAAGGGCAATTCCTGAGACTAGCAACTTAAAGTTACTAGAAGGTCATAGATTCACAACACTTGTAACAGAGTTACAAGAAGGTCATAGATTCAAGTTAAGGAAACGGTTGCCAAAAAATATTTATTTTGCAAACAGAGTGGTAGATGGTTGGAACAAGTAAAGTGAGATAGTGGAGGCTAAAACTGTCAGTAGATTCAAATCGTTATATGACAGTGCTGGGAAGACAGGACACTATGAAATTAGCTCTCATCTTGTAACTACACATACTTAATTACATTTAGGTAATTAAACACGCCCATTGTTTACTCAAACGTGATTAATATATATCCACATTCCCTTGTGTTCCTTATGCTCTACAATATTACAAGACCATAGATCATTTTCAACATGTATTCTTAAACTATGACTAATATTTAATGTCTCTCTCTTTCATATATGTAGGAAATGCTTGGTCTTCTGGATAGATACAAAGAGGATAAGGAAACAAAGCTAAAGGAATTTGAAGAGCGGCTACAAAACAGCCAAGCTCTCGTTACACAACTGACATCAGAAAAGGTAAGTCACATATACGGCAGAATGAGAAAATGCATCTTGACATCATATATATATATATATATATATATATATATATATATATATATATATATATATTTATATTTATATTTATTATATATATATATATATATATATATATATATATATATATATATATATATATATATATATATATATATTTAGATATATATATATTATATATATATATATATATATATATATTTATATATATATATATATATATATATATATATATTTATATTTATATATATATATATATATATATATATATATATATATATATATATATATATATATATATATATATATATATATATATATATATATATATATATATATATATAAAAAACTTAATTCATGAAAACTTGGCTTATTAGGCAAATCGGGCCTTGCATAGTAGGCTGAGAAGTGCGTTCTGGCTACTAGGTAGACATATAATATATATTATATATATATATATATATATATATATATATATATATATATATATATATATATATATATATATATATATATATATATATATATATATATATATATATATATATATATATATATATATATATATATATATATATATATGTCGTACCTAGTAGCCAGAACTCACTTCTCAGCCTACTATCAAGGCCCGATTTGCCTAATAAGCCAAGTTTTCATGAATTAATATATTTACTATAATTTTTTTCTTATGAAATGATAAAGCAACCCTTTCTCTATGTATGAGGTCAATTTTTTTTATTGGACTTAAAATTAACGTAGATATATGACCGAACCTAACCAACCCTACCTAACCTAACCTAACCTATATTTATAGGTAGGTTAGGTTAGGTAGCCAAAAAAAGCTAGGTTAGGTTAGGTTAGGTAGGTTAATTAGGTAGACGAAAAAACATTAATTCATGAAAACTTGGCTTATTACGCAAATCGGGCCTTGAATAGTAGGCTGAGAAGTGCGTTCTGGCTATTAGGTACGACATATATATATATGAACCTGACCTAGTTAGTACAGTACAGGTACAGGTACTCCAAATGTTATTCCATGGATTATCAGTGCATTACTTTAGAATTGTTGATTGCTGTAGCCTTTAGGGGTTCATGTAATAAGGTTTCGTTGCCAACAGTGAAGTCTCCAAAGGCCTAAGAAATTGTAATTCAGGGATACGGTAATGATTTTTCCTGGGTTGGCTTTGGATAGTTCCCTTGTGCATTGGCTCTGGCACCAGAGAGACTTTCACAAAACTATCAGGCCTCTTGACTTGCACAGGCCCTTGGACTTGCATATTCTTTTGGACTTGTGTGACCTACTAAATACCAGGACCAGAGTCTGATGTGCTCATAGAGACAGGGGATCTAAGACCATTGTCAGGCAATGCAAAAACTATGTATCTTGATAAAAGCGAGAAACAATGGAGACAAGAGTCAACTGAGAATATGAGGGGAAACTGCCTCCCAAAAGCAACAGGTACTGGTTGCAAAGGACTATTACTCAAATGGACTTGTAGAGGAAATGACTTGTAGAGAGAATGACTCATAGAGGGGATGACTTGTAGAAGGGACGACTTGTACAGGGGCCAACTCATAGAGGGGGTCGACTTGCAGAGGTGCTGGCTCATAGAGGGGCTGACTTGTATAGGGACTGACTCATAGATGAGCCACGTTACATGGGCTGACTCACCAAGAGGCCGACTCACAGAGGGTCCGGCTTGTAGAGGAGAAATCTCAACCCCTGAGAGAAGGTGTTGCTGGCTGATAAAAGGAGACACAAGCCAGTCACCAGGGAAAAAATTCTACCCTAAAAGCTGGAGTGAAATAAAAACTCAGAATATGAAATATAGATTATATTAAACAAAGGCTTGAAGCATAAATTAAGCAAAACCAAAATGGCCTCAAATGGAACCGGAATTCCAATGAAAATCAACACTCCTTGCATGAATAAATAAGTGGCAGAGGCCATCCAGCTCCATCTGCACCAGGTGAGTGAGCGAGGCAGGTGAACAGGTTCAAGGATTTGCGGTAACCTGGGCTGCCCTCTGTTGGAAGAAATACACATAAGGGGTTAGGGTTATTTTCTGGTGGAAATGATCGGTTGCCTTGTTTTTCTCATTTTTCATTTCTTTCAAACAATAGGTTGATTTGTTTGGCCTAATCTTTCTGGTTGGTTTTCTAAGCTTTGGGATCTCTGACAGTCAAGCTCTCATCACCACATATAGTTTTTACAATATTTCTTGAAATGTATTTTCATAACATGCTTATGATCTAACTATAATTCTCCATTGTCATGGATAGAATGCGTATAGCTAGGTTTATTGAGGTTCCATGAGGCCAACTACAAACCTTTTTTTCAGGATGCAACTCACAACAGTTGCCTAACTCCTATGTACCTACCTATTTACTGCTAGGTGAAGAGAGTCACCAGGTGTAAGGAAATGTCAAAATATCTCACATTGTCTGGGAATCGAATCCCGAGACCATTTGCGTATGAGCCGACAGCACTGGCTACCATGCTACAGGTGATCTACCGTTAATATTGCCTAAGAGATTTTTGATAGGATCTAGAATATACAACTAGAGAATAGATTTTAATCCAGTTACTTTCAAAAATATGTATTAAATTATTCTATTACAGTACAGTATATAGAATATTTGGAAAAGATTACTAAAATGACTACTGCATATTTTCACAGGAGAGTTTGATGGCTGAAGTAAGTGCTCTGAAGGCCGATGCTGAAGAACTAAGAATGGAGATTATCAGCCTCCAGGTGAGTATATTGTTGTTTACATATGGCTGCAGTACTGTTATGTGGTTATAATTTATTGATTTATAACCACACACACAAATTATTAAATAGCTCTTAAAAAATGTTAAATGTTGTAGGTTAAAACATATAGTTTTATGCATATAAATATACAGTATAGTACTATACGTATACTTAGTTGGTGGTGGATTAAAAATATGCATCCTATTCTCCAGCAAATATGGTAATATCTATCATGTTTTTGTATAAAATTACACGTCATCTTCCCCAGGGAACAACAAAGAGTATGCCCATAAAGGCTGATGAAACAGTGTTCAAAACACCAAGCCCGGCACAATATTTGCGTTCTATGCCAACTTTTGCCGAACCTTTAAAACCAAAATCACCTTGTGTGCAGAAGACAGAAGAGCCTCCGTCTGAAGTAAGTAGGCCTACTAATTGTAATGTTTACTGATATTCACAACATTACAAGAAGGGCATAATCAAATTGTACACAAGACAATTTGACAAGGTTCAATTTATGTTTGTTAAAAACTGTATATATTGTTAGGTTAGGATGTATTAGTTTGAGCTAGGTAAAGTTGGGTAGGTTTTAAGATCTGTTGGGGCACCATCTTGTGTGCAATGTGAACTGTATCCTTAGGAGATAATAATAAAGTAATGTAATAATAATATTTTTTTGTTTAAAGATTGCATAGGATGTGATTACAGTTATTTCATAATACATATCTGTATAAAACCGCCAGTCACTCTGAGCATCTTGGACGTATTTTAAGATTAATATGAGAGTTTTGATTAGTTCATTTCTTAGGGGAATACTTATTACTATGATTTTTTTTAGTTTAGTTCATTTATTATACACCCCATACTTATCTTGTGGATGTTAGTGGAAAGAGTTACAGAGGCACATAATGGGCTCAGGGACTGAACCCCACAATTCATTTAGCTAAGCAATTTACAATCTTAATGAGCTACAGTATTTACAAAATTCAGTATAAGTCGTCACATCATAAATGTGTTCGAGATCGACCACAAGTACAGTTTCTAAATTAAGCAACTGACATATGTGGAGAGCTAGGAGATGTAAATTAATTTATATATATGTGTATCAATTCAGAAATTTAGTAATGATATGCAGTTTTCTGGAAACAGTGCTTTAGAACATAACTCACTTTTAGAGTCTAGTGGCTGCAGTGGTAAATGTTATAATAATTATTATAATTATAATAAATTTTACATATTTTTAATACTAACAAAAGTATAATTAACAACTGGGTTTATTAAGATGAAGAACTATTTAGGAGTTATGCCACCTGGTGGACACAAATAGAATATAAATTGATATTACTGTATTATTATATAGTCCATCCTAGAATATGTTTCTGCCCGAAACGCTGCACATACTAGTGGCTTTACAAGATTGTAAATACTATGCTATGTATTCTCTTTAACCCAATGTACCTTCTTGTATATAAATAAATAAATAAATAAATGTTAAAAAAGGGTCCTGGTAATACAGTTTGGTTTATTCTCAACTCACAGTTGGGAATCATGGGCGGGACAGAAATGGTTGGGCATGTTTCCCATCACCTAATGCCTCTCTTCACCTAGCAGTAAATAGGTACCCAGGAGTTGGTCAGCTTGTTATGAGTTCTAGTTCTTTGTTTCAGCAATGTTATTTTGACTTATTTTCATAATGTATTTAACGTTATAGTTTGGGAGTATTTATTTATAATAGAGAAATCCTGTTGAGCTTGTAGAGTGTTATTTGTCTTTTCCTACTGAATGTAAGTACTGTATTGTACATCCCAATACAGAATAAAATCATTCAAAACTTTATGCACCACTTTTATGACAGCAGATGCAGTCACAAGCGCCTGGAATACTTAAGACTGGACGACGCATGCTCTTACCTCCGGAAAACAAGAAACGTGTCGTGTTCCTAGCTTCAACTGGTAATGGTGAAGCCTCTGGGGATTCTAGCTCGGACGCTTATAATTTTGAGGCGAGTACACATATACTGTACTGTACTCACATGCATGCACACTGTAGCTTGTTCAATGTCTAGTTATTTTTTTATGACCACTTAGATACTATTCGATTTTATTTGAGTACTATGATACATACTTCAGATGCCATATACAGTATTTCAAATGCCTGCAGTCAGATTCATAATATGGGTCCTGTGGACAATGCCCTTGACTCAGAATTGTGGATATCCGGTTCAATCCCCGGGTGGGAGAGAAATGGTTGGACATGTTTCCCTTCACCTGATGCTTCTATTCACATTATAGTAAAATAGGGACCTGGGAACTAAGCAACTGTGGGTTGCATCCTGCAGAATGTCAGTAGTTGGCCTATGGGGACCTATCACCTGATTCCTCTGTTCACTTGCCATTAACCTAGTGGACACCATTGGTTGAAAACGACAGACATTATGTGCTGTTTAGCATTTAATGCCAGTCGCTTTCAACCAACGATGCCCACTGGGAAATAAGTTCCTGAGAGTTAAGCAACTGTTGTGTGTTGCATCCAGGGAAAAGTCAGTAGTTGATTTATTGGAGACTGTGATAAACCTAAGTGCAAGCTTCCTGTCTCTTGGCAACTGGAATTTAATACTGTATTTTTGACACACTACACTTTATTTACAGGCTGCTGACAGTGATGACCCGTTTGAGGAAATGAAACGAACAGGGAGGAATTTATCTTCTATTAGAGTTGGTAAAATTCCTAAAGCTAATATTGCCCCAATAATTCGCTCAGTCAGCACACCGGGATTTCACAATAATCAGACACCTGCTATACATAACAGGAATGCAACTTCGTCCTTCTTTGGGAGTCTGAAGAGAAAGGGTGTTGGAGAATTATCTCACAAGAAGAAAAAGGTTTGTGGCTTTGTAATTATATTTTATTTGTATGTATAAAGTGTAACTTATTTAGTAGATGAGTTTTATTATACTGTACCTGTACTACATAAAAGAAATATTATCATAAGAGACTGATTCACATGAAAGTTCAGTATGTGATTTAACCCTTAAACTGCGCATGGCGTATATATACGCCCTGAGTAACATGTCCCATGGTGCGCATGGCGTATATATACGCCATAGGGTGCCAGGCCTGATTCAAATGGCCCACGGCTACACGGGGTTCACAGTAGCTTCCTCAGGGCTCTTGTAAACAGATGCCATTTTAAAAAAAAATCGTAGGCAATATTCTCAGGTGTGAGAGGCACAGTGCTGTTGGAGCAACCAAGGCCAGCGCACGCAGCATGAGCGAACAGCATTGATGTTCAGCTTGTGACCACAGCATCGCCGAAAAATGTCAAAATAAATATATAATTGTTATTATTTAGCGATGACAATATTACAGATGACCAATGACTGTGATATAAATAACCAGGGTTGTGATAATAGCAGGATTGTTGTAATAATTAGCGCTGTGGGAGGAGTGATGCTGAGAGACGGAGGAGGACAGCATCGTTTACTGACTGTGTGGCCACCTGTTATTGTTTGCGTTCACCATACCAGGTCAGTGGTTCTCTATGGTGAACACAAATGTAGATACTTATATATAATATGTGTATTAGTGTAATAACAGCAAAAGGATTATGGTGGGAGGAGCCATATGGGTGACGGAGGTGACGTCGTCTGCACGATTTGTCTAGCTGTTTAGAGGGTGGCCACTATGCTCTTTGGGCGCACTACAAGCTTAGGTGTACAGTTACGGTGCATACAACATGTAGATATTTATATATAATATGTGTATATAGGGTAATAACACTGCAAAAGGTATTGTTGGGGGAGAAAGTTTAGTGCGTGTGACCTTGAAAGAGTGAGGGAGCCGCCAGCCGCCATCTGTGTATAGCGACGACTCTTAGTGCCTGAACTAACTATATCAGCTTAGCTGTATAGTTGTGGTGAACAAAATATACACATACTTATATATAACGTCTGTATATAGTGTAATAACACCACAACTGGTATTGTTGGGGGAGAAAGTTTAGTGCGTGTGTTGAGGGAGTGGCAGCGAGTGGCTGGCTGGTGTGTGGCGGTAACTCCTCGTTGCTTTTCAACTCTCAATACCAACTTAGTGGTTCGTTATGGTGACCAAAACATGCCAATACTTATATATAACCTGTGTATAGAGTGTAATAGCAGCAAAACTATTTGTTCATTGTTTTATAAACATAATAATTGAATCACTAATATGCACATCATACTTTTGAGTATAGCGATTATTAACCACTTTTATTATATAAATATATTACAATACACACTATTGAATAATATTACTGCACAAAAACTAAGAAAAAATCAATCGGAGACATTGAAACAATTAGGTAATAATATCTTTGTGGCAACTCCCATCTGTCAACGCGGGTGACGCTGACCGGGTCTGACGACCGCTCTGTCAACGCCCACTTTTTGCCAGACTTCCTCGGTCAATTGCGCCCAAAATATATCACCTACGATTTTTTTTTTATTTTTTCCGTGCTCAGGGGACACAAATTAACATGTTTAGAAGACGAAAAAAAATTTTTGAATTTTTTTTTTTCTTGCGCACAGGGGTGTAAATGTCCATATGACCCCTGAGCAGTGTAAGGGTTAAATGTGTTTTGTTTTCTTTAATCTTAATTTTATAATCTTCCTCCCAAAACCTGAAAGATGCGTATCAACAAATGTCGTGGTTTAGAAAAACAAATCAACTACAACGATATAGTGATACTGTATCTTGGTTCTTAAATTTAATCCGTTCCCAGAGACAGGTTGTAAACTGAAAATTCACAACCCGAAATGAATTTTCCCATAAGAAATTATGTAAATTGAATTAATCCGTTCCACACTCCCAAAAATATTAACTTCACAAGACATTTCATACATAATACACACAAATATTTTGTACCATAGTATGTACAAGTTATAGCTTACCTTTATTGATGACTCTTGTTGGTGTTTGGAAGACGGTGAGGAGAGGAGGAGAGGTGTTAGTGTTTGGAAGCGGAGTCCCCTTCCATTATAACATCAGGCAGTGATGACTTCTCTGGGGTACTCTCTCCTATGTTTTACAGGCATACCACTAGGACCTGGTTGTGGCTCACTGCTTGCTTGTCTTACTAAGAATCTGTCTAAAGACACTTGTTATTCTCTACATTTTAACAGTTGTCTGTAGTGAGACATCACATTGTCATTAAAAAGGTCAATGCAATGGCCTGCTACAGTTTTATCTGGGTGAGTTTTTTCAACAAAACTTTTCAGTTCTTCCCATACTTCACATATCTTCTTCATAACGAAGGGACATTCTCTACTGCCTCTACTCGCAAATATTTTCTTAGGTTAAACGTTACCACTGACTTTCTTGGGACCCCGTGGCATGATATATAATAATTACTATTATGTTCAAAAACCAAAAAAGCAGAAAACAATGAAATTCTTTACAAAGAATTCAAGCACGATCATCAGGAGGCACTGGTAAACTGAAGCATGAAGCACGGTTGCCTATGCCACCAGGAACCATGCTGGTCGACTCCTACGTGTATCAACAAAGTTGCAATGCGAGGTAACATGCGTAACCCGATTAAAATTTTTCGAAGAAATTGATTTCGTAACCCGAAAAATTTGTAAAGAGGGACATTCGCTACCCAAGATTCCACTATACATCATTACAGTACTCCCCAACTATATTTTTAATTGCAGAAAATAAATCACAATAACAATGGCTGAAACAACCCAACCGACACATGTGAAATGAAAGCTATGACATTTCAGTCCATCCTGGACCCTTATGGGAGTCGCACCATGATTTGACCAGGGTTCAGGATGGACCAAAACGTAATCAGAAATGTTTGTTGGATTACTTATTATTTAAACATATATTTTCTAATTTACCCAACCCACACCACCCATAGAACTGAATTTATTGAATTGTTGTTCCTGACAATGGGAATTAAATCAGATGTTCTCTTGTGTTGTAGGCAAAACGAGATATTCCGAAGCACACCATCAAGACCTACAGTGGCCTGAGCCCGAAACAAAAAACCACAGCCCCGAGCACCTCATCAGTGCCTGTCGGTAGGGAATGGACGGAACAGTAGCAGGATTTACACGTGTGTGATCATTTGATTTCTTAAGATTTGTGTTTCAAAATATAAGGTACACACACACACACACAGTCACTTGATTTCTTAGGAATTTTGTGTTAAAATTGCATAACATACACATGTGATCACTTTATTTCTTAGGATTTGTGTATTAAAATTTAATAATGTACAGACATGATTATTTGATTTCTAAAGATTTGTGTGTTAACATTGGTTAATGATGTAGTTCTAATGAAACATACGTAAAACAATGTACATAACATAATGGAATTCTTATACTGTATTTATATAAGTCTGAGCATAATCTTTGTTCACTGATTTATGACTGTGGCAGACCACAGTAGTGTCATGCACTGTTTTCTCTCATTTTGTTTCAAAGGTTTTAAAAGAAGGATATTCCTTATTATTACTGATATTAGATCATTAGATCCCAGTTCAGTTTAAAGTCTAAAATCTTAATACTTTGCTACAAATAGAAAAAGAAGTATTAAATAAATAGGAAAGGAAGTACTGCACTAAATTGTTCAAAATTACTAAATCATTTTGATCACTACATATTATTTTGAAATATTGAAATTAAGAGATACATGGTATAGTACTGTATACAAATAATTTGGTTTATTTACCTGATTTTGCCTCAGAACCACCACCTCTAGCAGCCCTTAGAGGGGAACAAGAAGCCAGCAGCTTGTCAAAGGTCCTCCCATTAGTCCTAAAGATTGTTTCTACCTGGATTTTAAACTGGGTGTTGATACAAGTGATTTATTCGAGTATCTTAATTGTAATGCTTAAATATTTAATGATAACAAATAACAAATTTAATAATAGCCTTATGATAACAAACATTGGGCAGATATTGTGAGGATTTTGAGGCAGGCTGCCTGTATTTGTTGTGTTATATCACGCCATTTGCACTGGGCATAATTACAGTGAAACACCATTGATTTCATGTAAGCATTTACAGTTTACCAACTTGGTGTTTTGTTACTGGGTTTTGAAATTTGGGTGAAGACCATTGACTAATAGACAATCTGTTGAAGTTAATATAGATTTTTCCCATCTTGGGAAGCTACTTATGATTGTATTTTCTATATGATATGAGAATTTTTTTTTGTATTTATATATGACATTAATATTTGGACATAAGATATATATATATATATATATATATATATATATATATATATATATATATATATATATATATATATATATATATATATATATATATATATATATATATATATATACAGTATACTGTATATATATACTGATGAGATTATATACAGTATATATATATATACTGTATATATATATATATATATATATATATATATATATATATATATATATATATATATATATATATATATATATATATATATATATATATATATATATATATATATATATATATATATATATATATATATATATATATATATATATATATATATATATATATTCATCAACTATGACAGGCTTTAAAATGGAAAGAAAACATTTATTTTTTTGTCAAATTTTATAAATAGATTATTTTCTTGGTTGTAAGACAAATATAGTCTGCTATTTAAGTTTCTTATATTTTCCTTAGTACTTTTTCTTGTTTAGTCTGTTTTGGTGTACATTACTACCTGAATTTACCTGAAGGCCACCAATCTTAGTGGCCTCAATGGGGACAGGAGACCCAGAGGGGCAACCATCATTACCTGAAGTTACCCGAGTGCCACCCTATATCTACTGGCCTTGTTGGGAACAGGAATCTAGCAGCTTTGTCAAAGGTTCCATAATTTCTGAGCCCATTATGTTCATCCGTAACTCTTTCCCATTACTCCCACAGGATGGGTATGGGGTCCATTGCCACTCACAGGATAGGTAAGGGATCCACTATTACCAACAGACTGGGGTATTGGTGTGCATAATGAATGAATTAAACTGAAGGTACACACAGAAATTACAATAGCGTGATGCATCAAATGAACAAAAGAGTAATGAAGTAAGGGCGAAGAGGTAGAACAGCCTATTGACATAGCTCGGGTGCATGGGGGAGTTGCGTAAAACCTTGGTATGTGTCTCGGAGAGACTGCAGGAATCGTTGGTAAATTAGGATGATTTCTCGGTTGCAGTTCTTTTAACTGTGTCGTAGCTCAGTCGATTAAGGCAACGTCTAGGAACCTCTCGGACGTAGGTTTGAGTCCGGTGGCAAACAGCCAGGGTATTCATCTAATTGTACTTGTGGGGAGGTTGAGCTTCAGCTCTTTGGTCCCGCCTCTCAAACCTCGATTAGGTACTCACCTAGTTGTGCTTGCAGGAGTTAAGCTTTGGCTCTTTGGTCCTGACTCTCAACTGTCAATTAACTGGTGTACAGGTTCCTGATCCTACTGGGCGCTATCATATCTACACTTGAAACTGTGTATGGAGTAAGCCTCCACCACATCATTTCCTAATGCATTCCATTTGTTAACTACTCTTGACACAAAAAAATTCTTTTTAATGTCTCAATGACTCATTTGGGCACTCGATTTCACCTGTGTACCCTAGTGCATGTGCCCCTTGTGTTAAATAAACTGTCTTTGTTTACCCTATCAATTCCTTTGAGAATCTTGTATGGGGTAATCATGTCCCTCCAACTTGTGTCTTGCAGCGACGTGAGGTTTAATTCCCGTAGTCTCTCATCATAGCTCATACCCCTCAGTTTGGACATTAGTCTGGTTGCAAATCTCTGAACCTTCTCCAATTTAATATCCAATTTAGTCTTATGCTTGACAAGATATGGACTCCATGCTGGAGCTGCATACTTCAAGATTGGTCTGATATACATGGTATACACGGTTCTGAACGATTCCGTACACTAGTTTCTAAAGGCCATACTTATGTTGGCCAATCTGGCATATGCCACTGATGTTATCCTCTTGATGTGGGCTTCAGGGGACAGGTCTGGCATGATATCAACCTCCAGGCCTTTCTATCTCTGATTCTTGAAGAATTTTATCTCCCAAATGATAACTTGTATCTAGCCTCCTGCTCCCTACACCTATTTATATATATAAATATATATATATATATATATATATATATATATATATATATATATATATATATATATATATATATATATATATATATATATATATATATATATATATATATATATATATATATATATATATATATATAATATTTACATCACCTCACACGGATGCGTGTGAGGTCAGTAGAACTCTCGGTTACAATTCTTTTGACCATGTCGTGGCACAGTCGATTAAGGCGCGTCTGGGATTCTCTTGGACGTAGGTTCAAACCCTCGTCACGGCACTTGTGGATTTGTTCATTTGATGCATCATGCTATTGTGATTTATGTGTGTAATAAAATAGGTAAATGTATATTTATAAACTATAATAGTTTACCCCTAATTATTTGTAGTTTTCTTTAAAGTATTTCGTTTTCTTTTATTTATTTTTAATAGTTTATCATAAAATAAATCAATAAACCAAAAATCTAAATCATCATATTCGAGGATTATGTTTCCTATTAGTCTTACTTACGAGGTCCTCCGAGGCCAAGTACTGATCTTGTTCAGGATGTAGGCTACACCAGTTGCTTAAGCCTTAGCCTACTATATTTATTTATTTATTTATTTATTTTTATACAACCAATCTTTGTAAAAATTTATTGTATGTATGTACCTTACCTAAATAAACATTTTATTTTTTTATTTTATTTTTTTTATTTTTTTTATTTACATATATTTATTTATTTATTTATTTATATATTTATTATTTATTTATTTATTTATTATTTAAAAATATTTATTTATATAAATAGGTATATTTATACCTCTTTACTGCTAGGTAAACACTATATAAATTTGAAGAAAGTTGAAGAGCGCACTTACGGGCTATTCATTCCCGTGCCTCTTGGGAGGCTTAATCTTTATCAATCATTCTAAAGAGCGCAACTAGGAACAAGCAGCTTCCATTGTTTATGGCTTATATGGGGCTTTAAATACCACCTCTTGACAGTTGAGCTTGTATCATAATAATAATAATTATTATTATTATCATTTGCAGGAAGGTACAATGGGTTGGTGAGATTACATAAGACTGGTATTTTTACATTCTTGCAAAGCCACTAACACGCATAGCGTTTGAGGCAGGTCCTTAATCTAACAGGTAAGGTGAAAAGGTACATTGTAGCAAGGTTTTATATCAACAAATAACTACAATGTAAGTTAACAGAGGTGATTACACTGGTAAGGATATGTCTTAAGTACTAAGATTGTGGAAGTGGGGTAGTACAAGATATAATGTGATTTTGAAGTACAAGGTAGGAAACTATAAGGATGAAATTCTGTACTTTTTGGTTTTACTTTTGAACAGAGGAAGGGTTAGACAATTGTTTAATTCATCAGGAAGTGAGTTCCAAAGTACGGGGCTACAAGTATCTCTGGTAGTTGAGCTTGTATGGAGCTACAAGTATCTTTGGCAGCTGAGCTTGTATGGGGCTACAAGTATCTCTGGTAGTTTAGGTAGTATGAGGATCTAGATGACGGGAAGTGTAGCGTGGACGAAATCAGGGGCGACAAGGAGGCACTAACACGGAGCGACAATATACGGAAGAGTAATGTGCAGAATACTGGAACAATCTCTCAGCTCCCAGGGACCGTCAAGACTTTAAATGGCTTCTACACAAATGCCAGAAGCCTAGTAAATGAGTGATGCATTGAATGTATAAATGAAGGCCGAGAATCCCGAAATCATTGGCATTAATTAATTGGCATTGTTAATTTGCATAGTATGATCAATGCGGCATCAGAAACCCAAATCCTTATAATGGGGGAATTTAACCACGAGACAGTAGGCTGGGTAAATCTAATATAACAAGCAGGAGAACAGTTTCTTGACCTGATACAGGACTCCTTTCTCTCACAACCGAGGTAACATCATTCTAGATCAAATTCAGGTAGTGGAAAGGTTAACCCCCTTCACGTAATCACATTCTAAGATGGATTACAATTATAGAAACCCAAGTAAAGGTCCAGGATGGTTACTTTCTAGATTGCCATCGAGAAAACTATTAAGGAATAAGAGATGAATTGGAAAACACCTATAGGGCACTGATAGATGGTTATGGCATGTAAGCATAATGGGAACATTTCTAATAGGTCAACATTGAACTCGTTCAAAAACATGCACCAAGATAAAGAAAAGGAAGGGCACTAGATAGATGACACAGTAAAAAAAGAAAGTTGATGTAACTAAGAGGAACCTCTGAAGAAGGTATAAATCCACGAAGAACAACATAGATTATGAGATATGCAGAAGGGCGTTAAATTCACCCACCCAGGAAAT